AGACTGTCTTACTGTGGTTCTTAACATGGAGTCAGACTCTTTCAGTAATCAAAATGCCTTCCTGTAACCAATTCATGAGTTTAATGTATTGCCAGATCACATTGTATGATTAGAATATATCTCAGGAGTAAGGGAGAGGTTTATCCTGGTTTGTATAAATAAAACATTCATTTTTATCTACATCCAGCATTTTATATGTCTTTTTAACCAATAACATGGTTTGAATGCACACAGCATTCGGTTTGAATTTAGCTTTAATCCATACTTATTATGTCTATGTTGATGCTTCAACATTTATGCCACCTTATATGCCATTGCCAACAAACAAGCACTTTAGGGACAATCCAAGTAGAATTTACTACAGAGAATGAACAATATATGCAATTTAACATTTAGAAATGTTAGAGAAATGTTTTGCCAATCAGTAATTGAAGATTGACACTTTATTTTCAGTTATTAGAAAATGTGTTTGACAAATGTTATGTTCATCATGCCATATTTTGATATAGCACTGAATCAGTCATTCTGTTTTCAGTCAACCAGTCATTGTCAGTTTACGTCAGTGCCTGCGATTGCCTTGCAACCTCATTACAAATCCACCACTGCCCAAATGTTATTTATTTCAATAAGGGCATACAGATCATTGTGCCATTTGACTGTAAATTGCCACAATTCTGTTGATGTTATATTTTCAGACGATGCAGTCAACTCATGCAGGTAATCAGGTCTAATGAATTGAAATGTGGTGAATGTTCACAACCTTGGCCAAGCAGCCATTCCTACACAGTTCCATTAAGTTAATTTAGATTAATAATATTCAGCACCTACTGTATTATTTAGAAAAGGAATGGAATGTTGAATTAAGGCAGTGGCTAATGGAACATTGAATTAAGGCAGTGGCTAATGAAACATTGAATTAAGGCAGTGGCTAATGGAACATTGAATTAAGGCAGTGGCTAATGGAACATTGAATTAAGGCAGTGGATGTGATTGTGTGCACACATATAAGGGGAGGTGTGAGTCTGATAACAGTATAGGGTATATATATTGGTTGCCTGGAAAGAGATGAACAGACGTTCAATAGAGCACCACTTCAGATAGCCTACAACATGTCAATATCTCTCTTTCTATGTGGTCTTAGGCAACGTTTTTACATTCGTTTTTTATATTCAAAGAGTGATAATGATTGCCTCATAGTCTGAGATTTTGCTCGCGTCAGCAGATTTTTGCTTTGTATTAAGATTAAATTAACATTATTCATTTGAGTGTCATTGTAGTTGATTGGTTGGATTTGTAGATATCTCGTTGCTGTTTTTTATTTGGTGTCCTGGCTCACATGAAGAGATGCTTTTCACCTCCGTGTCAAGCCCACCTCAAGTGAATCGCTGTATATTTCAGAGAAATAAGTCTCTGTTAGCTCTGGTTAAAGTTGGAATCCGAACACTGTTTTATTCCCTCTGACATCATTACACATCAGTACACGCGTGATAGAACAGCAGAGAGTATGTACTACATTTTAAAATGTATTTACGTTACGCTCCTTTTCAAAGACAAAACAGTAACAAATGTCTTGGTTTGACCAGTAGCGCTGTTTCACCTTTCACAGATCTCAGCTTTAAGGTCAGGTTTATGTTTACTAATGTAAGAAGTTGACATACTTCAGCATTGGTGTCTACTGATGCCTGAGTGTCTGGATTTGTCATACAATCCTTGATTGTAAAAAACATCAAGGTTTCTGCAAAAACACCTGAAGGTATTTAATTATAAAACTCACAGCCTCTGTGAAAAGACACACACACACACACAACTATCAGAAGCTTTGATCAGCTTACTCAATAAAATACACCACAGTTCTCAAAGTTGTACATCTTGTATTAGCATGGTCCCTGTTGTAAAACTTTAGACAGAATGAACAGAAATATGGTTCTGATGGCATCCAGACTAGAACACAGGCAGAGCCAGGGAATCTGATGGCATCCAGACTAAAACACAGGCAGAGCCAGGGAACCTGATGGCATCCAGACTAGAACACAGGCAGAACCAGGGAATCTGCTTTCAACAGACAAACACTTCTGTGTCTCCAAAATCCCTGATGTCAGGAGGGAACAGGCAGCAGCTGATGGAAGAGTGCCCTTGTTACTCCTCACCCCATTGCAGAGAGTTAGAGAGAGGGAAGAGAAAGGAGAAAAGAGAGGAGAGGGTAGAGACTCGACAAGATGAATTATGCAAAGCTGTCAGAGCCGGCTATTGTTGGAGGTGCTGGCTGTGTTAAAGTGAGCCGGCCTGATCCCCACCACCCTCCATCACCACTTTCACGACTCCCTTGGTGAAGGACCGTCTGGTCCCTGCAAGAACCAATAGGAAAGGGCGAGTCCACGGAGGGGAAAGGATGGGAAGGGCAGCGGGCTTGGTATCGCGGTGGCAGGTGCAACATCTGGGAGAGGGGGAGACGATAACCATGTGTTTTTTTTTTACAGAGTACAGAGTCAGGGTTTACGTTAGGCGGTAATTTTTGGACGCTAACATTTTTGTAAAGCGCGAATTGCATTTTGGCCAATGTTTGAAAATGATGTTTTATTGTATGCTTTATTACAGGAGTTGCATGTCCTGTTAAGATGAATTACCATAATTTAAATGTGATTTCTGTCATTCTGAGCACCGTGGGTGGACGCCCTAATGGGTTATGCACCCAATGCATATGGCTCCCATACATTTCTCAAATGGCCGTTAAATTAAAATCTTCCCGGTCACATTGTCCGGCGCCTCATTTTCCTAACGGAAACCCTGGGTCAGGGGGTCTGAGTTAATATTTAGAGCAGGCCTTCGGAAATGTAATTACATGAACAAAGAGGGCTCTGGGAAGATTTGTCGTTTCAGCAGGGAAGTCTCCAGTGGCTACTCTACTCTCTCTTTGCAAAATGCTGTTTGTGCTTACATCAGGAATGTGGGTCACTTCAGTTGAAACCAATTTATTTGGCTGTATTGGCTCTGAGCCACGTCTATGGTGGCTTCTCCTTTGGTCCTCCCATGTGAATCGCGAGTGTGAAGGACAAAAAACCAACACGCAATCCCTGATTTAGTGTCCAAACAAGAGAATCGAGCCTAGATCATGAATTAAATGATGATGCCAAATTGACTTCAAGACATTGCTTGACACTGTATTATACATATGGAGTATGGTTAATGTTTAGAAGAACATCGAGACTGTATATAACAGGGGAAGCAGGTTTAGGAGAAACTGGCTGGGGAGTCATAGGCCTGTGTAGTACTGTGCTACGCTACATAGATCTTGGAGTGTCACTTCCCCCTGCCTCACTGCCTTGTCAAAGTTCCCACTGTGCCACTATAATACTGCAGTGTCGGCTTTTCCTTCTTGAGGTCATGGGTGACTGGCTGTCTCAATCATCCATATTATCAAAGGTGACACATACAGACCAGAGGGGTAGCATCCTGACAGTATGTAGGACATTTCTTAATCCGAATAGGGAGACGTGGGGCTAATTGTTAGTGTATTGAGGTAAGGTACTACGTGGACATTATGTAGGCCTATTTGTGGTTTTGTTATCCAAGCAACGAAGTGGCCTAATCCTTAGATAGAACTTCCTTGAGATCACAGCACAGCACACTACACCAGAGTTCCCTTAAGAGCCTTGGATGGTTTGGCACCATGACAGCTTCTATAAGTATCTCCCTAGTGTCCTCAAAGCGTCCCCATGTACAGGAACTACCTTCAGTACATAGAGGACAATTTGATGAACTCCGAAAAATGTTGGCGTCAGTAACTTTGGATCCTCCTGAGGAAGGCAGTATGTGTTCACATCAGAGACGTGCCCGGTCGTTCACCTTGCTTTGTGAGAATCCGGCCCGCCAAGACATTTCCCCATAACACACCCAGGGGGACTTATAGCTGATTAGGACACTAATCTTTTCCCCCCTGTTGGGTTGTCGGCGGCTCGACAGACAAGGCCCTTAGCATTAATGGCTATCAGCCCTTGTGTATCTTTACAGGTCTATAAATCAGAATGGATCACAATCAGAGAGGTTTCTGGGTGGGTCCGTTCTCGCCCACTGCACAGTAATCTTTGTAAATGTGGGTTTACATCTTCAGTCTTGTCTCTGCGTTTGAAAGTGTATTTTCAGATTTCATCTCAGCATAGAAAGAAAGAACAACATGTCACCTAGTGAAAGGACTTCTCACCTAGTGAAATACCTTTTCATTACCCTTGGATCCAAAGTTTCAATTTCAGTAAAGGGAAATGTGGAGGTGTATAATACACCTCTCTTTGGGCTTCCAGCTGAGCCAAGACAGAAATTAAATCCTCACCAGTGAAAATCCCCCATTTTCACACTCTACACTTAATAGTAATGGCTAATCAAAGTATCTCAACGACCGTCTGTCGACCTCATACACACACACACGACCAAGTTGTGGACAAAAGGAATTTAGTCAAGACAATGGAGGTCTGAACTTGGGCTGAAAGAATAAAAGAAGGAAGAGAGTGAGTTAGTGAGAGGAGATCTGCTTTATGGAGGGGAATTCATACATGGAATGGCTTACGGGTGGGGTTTGAGAGATGGTGGTGGTGCTGTGGTGGGTGTGAGTGGGCTTACGGGTGGGGTTTGAGAGATTGTGGTGTTACTGTGGTGGGTGTGAGTGGGCTTACGGGTGGGGTTTGAGAGATTGTGGTGTTACTGTGGTGGGTGTGAGTGGGTTTACGGTGGAGTTTGAGAGGTGGTGGGTGTGAGTGGGCTTACGGGTGGGGTTTGAGAGGTGGTTGGTGTGAGTGGGGGCTTTTGAAGATTAAGTGAGGGGATTAGTGTTATCTGAGCATCTCGTCTCTCCCTCTCTGTTTTCCAGGTAGAGCCGAACGGGGCTAAGTGGACAGACAGACAGAAATACAGACGGATAGACAGAGGGACAGACTTACCAACGGCGTAAAGAGGAGTGGAATATCCCAAAGCGAGTGTCTCAGGATAGAAGGACACAGTATGCTGGCAGGATGGAACAGGTGAAGGAGCAGCAGCCCTTCTGCTCACTCTCCAAGAGCCAGAGAGACCGGGAGAGAGACCTTGAAAGGGAGAGGGATCGGGAACGGCGTTACACCGCATCATCGACAGACCGAGAAGGGGCCTGCCGCGTGCCTACCCAGAAGTCCTACAGCTCTAGTGAGACGCTGCAGGCCTACGACCATGACCCCGCCCGGCTGCTGTTCTCAGGCCGAGTCAAGGAGGTGGCCCATCAGGATACCAATGACTACAGCAGGCCAGGTCAGTACAGTCACAGCTCTATTCCAATGATATGAAAGGATGCTTAATAATAGGTCTACTGTATGGATATCATTTCTTTCATACGTGTACTTTTTTAAACATTCTTAACTTGGGAACCAATGGAGTTTGGTAAAAAAATTAATATTGCAAGGTGTATTACAGAATTGAAATTAATTGTTTACAGTTGAGCTCATTGACATAGGAAAGATAGATTTTTGATACTGTATTAGTAAGTCTGATGTTCTGTCATAGGGCCTCCCATGAGTTTCCTTGAAAACTGATGGTGGTCTTTATCTTGTTAATGCATGATCCATTAACCAGCATTCATAGTTTGTCATTTGAGGTTTGTATTAATCCATGATGAACAGTAGAGCTCTTTTCGATCTGTACTTGAACTACAGTATGTACACATCCAAACGAAATGATCACGCTCCACTTCACATACCGTTGATATTTACCCATTGAACTGCTGAGCAAATAACCCACCGTTTTAATTGGTTGTTGGCAATTGGTAGGAAATGATCATAATAAGAAAAAAAGTTGGGTGGTTTATTTTAGTGTCATAGCCGATTCTTGATTATTTAAAATTGCATATTTTATGGCATATTTCTCATTGGCGCTAATTGGAAATTAATGGCATTCTAATTAGGCTGTGTGAGGAATGTTCATTTCCCCTTTATTTCTAGATCAAATTACAACCTTTAATGAAAAGATAATGAACGATTAGACTTATTATCACCTCAATGATAGTAATGATCAATAATTGTTATTTACACATTTCAAAGTTTGTATCTGTTTTGAAAAAAGTGAATTCACACCTTGGACCTTAAGTAAAATGTATAGTTTAAGGTTATTAATTATCTTATGAAGTTTATAAGACATGACATACAATATTGTCAATGTCTGTAATTGCTCCGCTGCGGTTTTTACTTCAGAATGTTCATTGTCAATTTCACTTGTTAAAATGTTTTGGCCTTGAAATAACCGGTAAACTAAATCAAATGCAAGAACAGTTAGAAATTACTTTATTGATTGATAATTTACTTATATTAATATTGATACCTGTCTTGTCTGCACTAATGATATTTCTATATTAACGTGGGTAAAATACATGTCTGTAATCTTATGCAGCATGACATTACATTCTTTTTTATTCAGCTAACAGAAAACAAATAAAAACGTTTTTTATAGAATAACTTTGAATGTATATATGAAAAAATATATATGCTATAAAAATATTTACAATGAACAAGAATTTCCATCCAAAGATTTTTTTAGTTCTGTCCACGCATTTAGAAATATAAATTCAGTGAAAAGTACTTTGAACATTGATTAAAGATTTTTGCTGTTTACTTCAGATTACATTTTTATTTACTCCATCCAGCATTGACGTCCTGTAAATTCCCTTGTATCTCTGTTTTTCACCTTTTTGTTTCTCTATTAAATCCACTCGTTAGATCCAGATTTACAAACAATTAAGACACAGAGTTGTGGAACTGTTTCAATTTACGTAAAACTGTCATTTTGCACGCCCACAGTTTTTAAGGAACTCAGTCTGGCTTTCAACTTACTCTTGAAAGTTGTAATAGTAGAATGCACAAGGTGCAATTTCAAAATTGGGTAGTGCCTCATCAGTTTTCCTCTTGTCATCTCAATCATGGCATACCTTAGAGAGCTATTTATAACTTGGCAGAAATGTCCAGATCAATAAGCCCATGTCAGCCAACGTTTTTTAGCTAGGTTTGTTAGCCCATAGATTTTGTTGAAATGTTTGAGTCACTGAAATATCACATGAATACACATTAGACATGGCAACATGTATAGAATTGCAGTAAATAAGCTTTAAACCTGCAAAATATTCTCTCCGCCAACAAGAGGGGTGTGAACACTTTGTGTCAAACAGTGCTTGTGTCCATAGAAATAGACGTGGCACACGTGCATGGTGGTGGGGGGGGGGTTGTTTTCAGCAGAAGTCATATCAACTTCCATCTTACTTGAATGTACAGGATGTCCGTTAGTGTGAAGTGTCTTCTGATTTACTGGTTGGCTTTTGTTTTTGTGAGGCCTCTATTTGAGTTAGGCCTACTGCCCTTCTAAGAACAGACATTTTAAGAATCACACAATTTTTTAAGCTGCACATTGTGGCACAATGGCAGTCATTGTAAATAAGAATTTGTTCTTAACTGACGTGCCTAGTTAAATAAAGGTTAAATAAAATAAAAAAAAGTCTGCACCAGATATTCTGGGTTTGGGATTCGATAACATTGTTAAATTGTATGGCTGCTGTTTGGTTTTGTCTGTACAGGACAGGCCTTCTCACTGAGGCAACTTGGGATATGTCAGGCCTCCACACGCAGAGGCCTGGCCCTCTGCCCTGAAACGGGCCTCTCGCACCCCCTTGGTAGCTACTCCAGAGGAACGGTCCCCACAGAGAATCAGGAGACCACATCCCCGGAACGTACCATGGCTCTCTGGGGCAGGGGTGCCAAGTCAGGCCAAAGCTCATGCCTGTCTAGTCGCTCCAACTCGGCCCTTACCCTGACAGACACCGAAATGGACAATAAGTCGGACAACGAGATCGGTGAGTCTGCCACACCTTTATTTGTTAATTGTGATCCCCCTTATTCCTTTTTTTGTGGAGGTTTAAGTAGGAAGTTAATCGCACAACAAATGTTCATACTAGTAAGCATTGTACCTGTATTATTTCATTGGTGCTCAGGAAATCTCTTTCATTGGTGGAAGAGATAAGTGGTGGATTCTGATTGGTCATGTGCAGCTGCTGTTTGGGGATCAAAGGCATGTTTCATGGTCTCTTGTGGATAAGAATTTGGTCTTCCAATTGAGCGGTTGGTAGTCACCTGGCCATCTCCACAGGGAAGCAGGGGAGTTTGATCAAGTTTCCCCTTGGGCTAGTGTGTAATCAAAGATAGCTTGGTAAAGCATCGGTCAGAGATTTCGCTTAGAAATTCCACAGTAGTTGAATGAGCACACACAATAGCTGATTTAAGTAGGTTCAATGGTTTGAAGTGCAAATTTGATCATGCTCGAAACCCGAAACTTAAGACTGGGGTATTCTTTTGAAGGAAGATCTTCTGTGCATCAAATGCGGGGTAAAAAAAGAAACGTTTCTGTTTATACTTCTCAATATTGCTTTAAGTGATAAATTACTCTTTCATTTTGATTTAGAAAGTGTTTGTACACAAAAGAAAAGCAGTCTATACAGCTATCTAAAAGCTGAGGCACTTTCAGTGTATAATATTCCTTGCAGTCATAACTTTGCTTTTATCCGGCATTCGTCACTGTTTTTACAAAAATTACAATGTTTTGCCGCCAACTTTGAAGCGATGTTATAGTCTATTGCTTATTTATTCATGTCTTTGTGCTATTATATTTTCTACACATCAGCCATGGTCTCAAATTTGTTCTTGGAGCAGTTTTGACAGCTTTTGCTACTGTTAGGCTAATTTGAGGATTACTTTTATCTTTAATGCTCTCAAAAAGCATTGAAAATCTATTTAGCATAGTGGTATGTATTGTCATCTCATATGTTTGTCATCACCATACTTTTCAATAAGCATTACCAAAGATACAGAAGAAAGAGAGATGCTAGTGGTTGATTATCTAAGGATAATCCAAGGAATTTGAACTGCCAGAACATATAGAAAGGTTACATGGTGCAAAATAAATATTTTGTGTTCAGAGCAAACAATTAATATTTCAGTTATGTTCCAGACAGATATTCCATTCCACTCTTGAGACGTAGATCTGAGATGTGGATCTTTCGTCTATCTTAAGTGCCTTTTTGGCTTATATAACATTATAAAAAATTAAAAAAAAGATAATCTCCAACTACTTTGTGATTACTGCAGATGTAAAAAGGGCTTTATAAAATACATTTGAATTTGATTGATTAGATGGAAAAAACGTGTGGAAAATAAATTGATGCAAGGGTAGTGATCGAAACAATTCATGTTCCAACCAAAGTCCACATCTGCATGTTCACACACTTCAACTTCTGTGTCCACATCTAGTTTTTTAAAGCCCCACATTATTCATGAGACGCCATATAACGGCATTCCAAATAACTCAGTGATGACGTGTAATGGGAGTAAGATAAGACATTTGAGACACCTTACAAGGCACCTTCCAAGGTGTTTTCTTATCGACATCACTTTTTCCTCCATGTTTGTTGCAGCTGTTTCATGCGATGCACGAAACCCCCCAATCTCTGTGGCTCAGAAAGCGCATGGAGTTAGCTGGCTTCAAAAGGCTCTGTCCTGGCCTCCTACCCCCCACTACCCCCCGCAGCCTCTCTCCTTTGGAGTCTCTTTTGGAGATGTCTGGAGGGCTGCTGCTGATTGGGTCTTGTTAGTGTGACTCCCCGCTGTGACTTTTATCTCGCCCAATTTCCACCCTATTATTTTAATCATAGGGAAAATAAACAATACGTGCTGTGTCTTGTTCGCAGGTAGCTAAGCTACCACCCGTTAGGAAGGTACGGCAAGATGCCCAGAGTTCTCAAATTGTAATTAAACTCTAACCCGGGTAACTTTTCCTACAGTTGTGCTTCTTTGTTCGTTTGTCGCTCAACCTTATTTTGGTGTTTTGTTGTGAATGATAAGAGGTTCGGATCTTGACGGGTCATGCGTCGATCAACAACTACATTGTTGATTAGTTATCGTGTTATTCTTATCTTGTATCCGATGCCTACTTTTATTTTCAACTGGAGTAAAGGCGAAAAACTCACCCTTTCCTGCTGCTTTAGATCTTTTTGTCATGAAGCATTACACTTTCGACTTTCACTATTTAATGAAGCAGCTAAGAGAAATTACCCATCCAAAGGTTTCCATCAACTGAATATGCATGTGGAAGCCGTTACAAAGGGGCGTTCAGCTCCACTTATTCATAAATTAACTCAATATTTCATTGTAATTTGCACTGTTCTGGGCAGTGAGACACAGAGGACTACCACAGTCTTGGCAGACTGTCGGGCTATAGCATCTGCAACTGTTAATAACCGCATGATCCAAGAGAAAGAAGACTAAGATTAAAGATTGTGTCTTTGCTGGCTGTGTTTCATCCCAAAAGAATCAAGAGAATTTAGGTCCAGATTGACAGATTTACTTTGTTGGTTGTGATGTTGGTTGTTTTGTTGGTTGTTTTGTTGGTTGTGATATTGGTTGTGATGTTGGTTGTGATGTTGGTTGTTTTGTTGGTTGTGATGTTGTTGTTGTTTTTGGTTTGGATGTTGGTTGTTTTGTTGGTTGGGATGTTGGTTGTTTTGTTGGATGGGATGTTGGTTGTTTTGTTGGTTGGGATGTTGATTGTTTTGTTGGTTGGGATGTTGGTTATTTTGTTGGGCTGTTGTGTTGGCCCCGATGATGGGTAATTGTCTGTTTAGCGTCTAATTACAGTGAAACAAATTGATTGAGACAATTGTGCCGAAGCATACCCTGTCGACAACAAATCCAATGCCTTCTGAATCAATGTCCTCAAGAGCAATTTAACAGCTGTTTTTACATATTATTAATGTTATGTGTCTGTGATATTTTATCAGTGCAATGATTGCAAAATAAGTCCAATTTATCCAAACAATGAAGACAGCCACCAAAGATACCTGGTAGGTTTACACACCACTGTCAAATGGAGTATAACTCCTGGCTGCTTTGCGTGAACCCTTCCAGTAAAAGGTTAATTGAATTACATGAGAAGACACTGTAACATGCAGTACAGCACAGCACACACCAGAGAGCTGTGGGTATATGAAAGCACCTCACAGATACGCACACCATGCGCTTACGCACGCACACACACACACACACACACACACACACACACACACACACACACACACACACACACACACACACACACACACACACACTGGGAGTCTAACAAACAAAGGTTACACACCATCTGTCAACTCCTAACTCAGATCCGTGTCACATCATGTTGACAGTGGAATCATTCTATTGATCATGGAAGATAAAAAGACCTGCCTATATAATTAAATATGGCCCAAGTTGTGAATATACAGAATAAATGAAACCTTTAGTTTGGTCAAACGCTCTGAACATCTGTGATGTGTTTGAAGAAAATTCTTAACTGGCTGCAAAGCAAGCATTCACATCTTCCCTGGGAGCTGAGAATGCGCAACAGACCCTCGTGGTCTGAGCACCGGCCACATCAAACTGACTGACGTTGTTATTTTCTCTTCTTCTGGTCCCATTGACTGCTTCCTCTCAGAAGAGTTGCCTCTATCTTTTGTCGGACCGCGTCAATGTATGTAGGACACTGGCTGCGTGATGTGTGCACAGCGCAGAGGTGTCATGGGGGGTAGCATGCACATCCATCAACTGAACCCTCGCTGTTTTCTATTTTGGTGGAAGATGGAGAGAGCTTGGTGGGGAACATTTCCTTGCTGTTTCATTGGGTAAAGGGTCAATTCCATTGGAACTGAACTTCTGTCAATTTTTTGAGAACTTAACTTGACTCATTTATTTTTAGCTCCTAGTGGAGAAAAGGGCCTCACTTTGAGAATAATTCATACCCAATTCATACCTCGACGACCTCTTTTCTAAAATAGTTTTACATGTTGCAAATTGAATTTCAATTAATCCTGTGTGGTTACAGAGGAATTGAACCCGGCCTTGCTGTCCAAACCGATTGCGCTGCCATTGTTGGTTTGCTGTTGGTAAGCAGAACATGCCATTGAGCTTGCCATTGTTGGATTGCCGTTGGTAAGCAGTTGCATACACCGGACCAGACTGCACAACATGCTATTATAATTAAGACCTACTCTAGCATTGTCAATTACCAGACCTGCTATTGACTGTACTAAAGAGAAAGGGCTCATTTCATTTCAATAGGCAGCCTGATGGAGTAGCTGTATTAGCCTCCAACATGGAAACAGTTAGGGGTCTATTTCTCAACACATGGCAAGGAAACGGATTCAGGCTGCGTGTTGAAGGCTGTGATGTATATATTACTGTCTCAGAGCTACTTGTCCTTTTCCTTTGTTTTCAACAGAATTAGCGCCATTAGCATCTACTCAAGTGAAACATCATGTTCCTTGAATAATACAATGCAGAGCTAATTTTGATCGTTGGTGGCTTTTCCCCTGTTGATGCACTGTGTTTTATTGCTGGAGCAATTATAGCTTTTGTAGACATGAGAGCAAATCAAACGCTACAGGTTAAGACGACTTGTCAAATGGCCAAATCACCTCAATGCTTATTGCCGCTCCCATGTCGACTATATGTTTTGAATGACAACTCTTCTCCAATGAGCTGAGATATTGATCTGAAAGAAAAATGGTTGACAAGCCATTCTAATACTGTGTGTATCCCTGTAGATAAGATGGGAATTTATGGAAGCATAAAAGCAACTATAAAGAGAAAAAAATCTTATTAAAGACATAAAGTGGCTTGCGAAAGCATTCACCCCTCTTGGCATTTTTCCTATTTTGTTGCCTTACAACCTGGAATTAAAATGGATTTTTTGGGGGTTTGTATCATTTGATTTACACAACATGCCTACCACTTTGAAGATGCAAAATCTTTTTTGGGGTGAAACAGACA